TTTTTTTTTTTTTTTTTTTTTTTTTTTTTTTTTTTTTTTTTTTTTTTTTTTTTTTTTTTTTTTTTTTTTTTTTTTTAATGTAAGAAATAATTTTCAAATTTTGAAGAGCTGAAAAAGGGTATTTATGTCACTTTTCCAAACAGTTCGGTGGTTTGGTATTAAGTAAGAGGTTAGTTGATGCGTCTTCCCCCCCTTCCTTCTCTGCCTTAGCTTGCAGGGAAGTTCTACTGAGAGGAAGAGAGAGAGTTGAAGAACATAGAAACAATCTTTTCTTTTCTTTTCTTTTCTGAATCCTGTGATTCAAATCTTGTTCTATTGCTAATTCCCCAGTTCCTCAAATTCTTGCAACTGGGTCTGTTTATTCAATGCTTATGGTGTTTTGTTGCTAGAAGTTGTTAGGGGCAGCATAAACACCATCTGGGCAGAAGATGTCCTGGAAAATTAAGCCCGAACAATCTTCACGAAGCGTCGCTTCGCAGAGATGGGTGGTTCTTCTTTGCTTGGGCAGCTTCTGTTTGGGGTTGATCTTCACCAACAGGTTCGTATCAAACCTTTTTTTCAAATTTTCTGTAAATTTCTGCTGAGGAATGTTGAAAATTTGATGGGGTTTTGTTCTTAGCTGAGTTCTTATCGCAGCAGTGGATTTTGATCGATGAATGAAATGTTTTTCTTGGATTCGGAGGTTTTTGGTTCTAATTTGGCTGTTCTGTTTCTGGGTCTGTGTTTATTGGGGAAACATTGCCCATTTTCCGTTTATTAAATGCAGCCGACAGTATTTATGATATTGCGTTTGTGTATATTCGTTGGTCGCTTTCAAACATTTGATCAAAGGCATCTATTCTGAAAAATTCATTACCAGCAGTTATGGCCTTGAGAGAAATCTTTTGTCCTTCTTCTTCTTATTGGGTCTCGTGTTTGAAAAACTGTTTCCTTCCACCATTTCTTCAATGAATCAAGATCTGCCATTCATTTCCCAACTTTAATCCCGAAAACTTGTACTGTTTTTGGATTTATGGGTTTGGTTTCATTGTAATCATGAGTATTCTCATAGCACCCACAGTCAATTATAGGACAAAAAGAGGTCTGTTTCGAGAAGCTTAAGATTCAGCTCTGTCGGATTTTTTTTTTATAAAGAAACAGATTCTGATATGGATGTTCTTAAAAGTCAAAAGAACTGAAAATCCCTTTGAAATTGCTTGCAGGATGTGGACTGTTCCAGAACCTAAAGGGATCACTAGAACAGCGGCCTTTGAAGCCGAAAAGTTAAAGTTAGTTTCAGAAGGATGTGATCCAAAATTGGTAAGCATATTCAACGCTGTTTTCATAACTTGTGTGTCCATTGCTGCTTTTTTTGATCTGTTTGTGTGTTCTAGTTGGATGAGAAGGAAGTTAAGCGTGTGTCAAAGGACATTTTTGGAGAAGTCTTTAAGACTCACAATGCTATACAGTGAGTGAAAGCCAAAAGTTATGAACATATTATGAAGAATCCAAACTGCAAATTTACCTTAATGTTGTTCTCTACAGAACATTAGATAAGACCATTTCAAATTTGGAGATGGAATTGGCTGCTGCCAAAGCAGCTCAGGAGTCAATACAGAACGGTTCCCCGTCGTCGGATGATCTAAAGAATACTCAGTCATCTGGGAAGAGAAGATACTTAATGGTTGTAGGGATCAATACTGCTTTTAGTAGCAGGAAACGACGAGATTCGGTTCGTGCGACATGGATGCCTCAAGGTTAAGTAGCTCGTGGTGATGATTCTTTTTCTGAAACAAACCATGTTTGTATGTTCATTTGTTCTTACTTGAAAATTGAAAAACAGGTGAAAAGAGAAAGAAACTAGAGGAGGAGAAGGGGATTATAATTCGCTTTGTCATTGGCCATAGGTATGTATGTGATCTTCTTTCATTTGGTGATAACTGTTAGCAACAAGATTTTGAATGAGCTTTTTCTTGATGATCAGTGCCACATCTGGAGGTATTCTTGACAGAGCTATTGAAGCAGAGGACAAGAAGCATGGAGATTTCCTTAGACTGGTAACGATAAGCATTCTTAAAAACCTTCCATTTCTCATATCTGAAAATCTTGAACTGTAACATGTTATCTACTCAGGACCATGTTGAAGGCTACCTTGAATTGTCTGCCAAGACAAAGATTTACTTTGCTACAGCAGTTGCCTTGTGGGATGCGGATTTCTATGTCAAAGTTGACGACGATGTTCATGTAAATATAGGTAAGCACGATCAATCCACATTGATTGGAGAGGGGAACGAGTGCAGCGAGAACGCTGACCCCAAAGGGAGTGGATTGTGAGATCCCATATCAATTGAAGAGGGGAATAAAGCATTCTTTATAAAGGTGTGGAAACCGCTCCCTAACAGACATGTTTTAAAGACCTTGAGGGGAAGCCTGAAAGAGAAAGCCCAAAGGTGGTGTGCCAGCATGGATGCTGAGTCTCAAAGGGGGTGAATTGTGAGATCCTACATCGATGGAGGAGGGGAACAAAACATTCTTTATAAGAGTGTGGAAACCTTTCTCTAACAAACACGTTACATTTGTTAGCGGTGGGCTTGGGCTGTTATATTTTTTATAACACGAATAGGAATTGATAAACACGAGTCATACACGGGTTGTTATTATGATGCATTAAACTTGTGTCCTTCACTTTGGTCGCAGCCACACTAGGAGAAACTCTAGTCAGACATCGATCAAAACCACGGGTTTACATTGGTTGCATGAAATCTGGTCCTGTCCTGTCACAAAAGTAAGGTTGCCTTACCATCATCACTGTCCTGTCACAAAATTAAGGTTGTGTTAACCACCAAACTACACATTGCAGGGGAGTTCGATACCATGAACCCGAACACTGGAAGTTTGGAGAGTCGGGTAACAAGTATTTCCGGCATGCAACAGGCCAATTGTATGCCATTTCAAAGGATTTAGCAACCTACATATTCATAAACCAGTAAGCTTCTATCTATTATACCTCACACATTTGCATTGCCAAATTGTACATGAACATGATGGGAATGTTGGCTATAACTGTGGGAATTCTCAGGCATGTTCTTCACAAGTATGCCAATGAAGATGTTTCCTTAGGATCTTGGTTTATTGGACTTGACGTCGAGCACATCGACGATCGGAGACTTTGTTGTGGAACACCCCCGGGTAATTTCTTTTTTTTTCTTTTTCTGAATATTTTCTTCTGTCTATTAGGAACACGACCCTCCACTGTAGTATGATATTGTTAGCTCTCATGACTTTGCTTATGTTCAGCTCTGAAAAGTTTGTTGAATGCAGATTGTGAATGGAAGGCACAAGCAGGCAACATCTGCGTCGCTTCGTTCGACTGGAGCTGCAGCGGGATATGCAGGTCGGCGGAGAGGATTAAGGAAGTCCACCGTCGATGTGGAGAAGGTGAGAATACATTGTGGAGCGCCACCTTCTAAAACAGAGTGCTTGCTTCATCTCCTTCCGATCTCAGGAAGGTTTACGAGCTTGCAAGTTCGGTTTTTGTACCGTATAGGATTTGTATTGTATTATTATCATAGTACAGAGAGAGAGAGAGAGAGAGGAACCAAAACAACAAAAAGAAGTAAGAACAGAGAGTATAGCCGAAGTAGGCAGCTGAAAGAGGAAGAGAAGGGCTTAAACACCACCATTCTTTGTGGCTTTTAGATGACACTAAGAATTGTATGGTATTCAAAGCTCATAATAAATACAATACCAACTAGACGGAAGGTTTTCCAAAGTTTTCTCCTCTCTCATTTCAACCTATAAATTACCCGAACTAAACTTAAAGCTAAGCAGCATACGCAAAGTCAACATTCGATCGACTTGATTCTATCCCAGATCGAAGGATTAGGAAATTGGGTACTCGACAAAAGGTCAAAAAGAGTTTCCACCTCAACCAAAACAGAATAAGGTGAAAGATCAGTAGCGAACTACTCAATCGACTAAGACCATTGTAGGTGGCTTGAGAATGACGCTGGGTCCCTTTTCACGACAACAGATCAGAGATATTCCTCAAGTCATATATCTTTTGCACTTCCACTACGGTTAAGCAATTCTTAAGATAACTGGTAAGTAATTATTTTTCAAAGTAATGTGTTTGAATAAATATGATGATTACCATTAATAATGATGCTAGAAGCAATACAAAAGAGATGTACGGATAGACAATGTTTAGTGCAAGTAATTACCCAAAGAATAATGACCATAGCTGTCTACATATTCATTTCATAGATTTTTCTTTCATTATTACTAATAATAAAAAATATATATATATCATAATTAGAAGCACAATCTTAAAGCATTTTCTAAATTATTTAAGAAACGAAAAAAAAAAATGTTGATATCTAAACTAACATTTTCCATAATGGTCAATAATTAACTCATAATCTATTATTATCAAATTTCCTAATTTCCTATTTCTTCTTAGATTTAAACCTATGTTTTTATAAAGCTAACAAATTGTAATGGAAGATATAAATTAATAAAGGAAGTGTAAAGTTTTAACAATTAATACTATATCTTATATTACTCTTACAAGTATTAATTGATATATTATTCGTCACTGGAGTGTAACAAAGGCAAAGCCAATATACGAGTTAAGAAACAACGTACCTTAAGAGTATATGGACATGCAATAATGGAAGCCGTTGACACGTGATATTGGCACGGCTCAATCAAAAAGCAAAACCCAGCCATTTTTTTGGGGTTGCCTTCTTATTGAACCGCACCAATATCCCGTTTGAATCAAAACCCTACAAATACCAATCCATAAACAAGTTTCTAAAAGGTATACGCCACAGAATCTATAAATATCAATATGAGCATATTATAACTTAACTGAGAATACGGTAAGAATCTCTAATGGATTCCCAAAAGAAGTAGAGAGAGAAGGAGAGGAAGAAAAAGGCAAAAGGGAGATTTAGGGAGGAAGAAGAAGAGGGTTTAGAATATAAAGGGGTTAAGGAAAATTGAATAAAAGGGAAAGAGGGAATGGAGAAAGAAGCATTAAAGGAGTATAACAACCAAGTTGCAGAGGAGGTTGGCTAAATTTAAGTCCACAAGAAACAACGATCCTATATAAAAAAAAAGAAAAAGAGAAGGAAAACCTCTCACGGATTCATATCTGCAACTTTTAATGCTGCATTTAAGGTGATGGGTAGGGAGAAAGAGGAGAGAGAATTTAGGGTTTTGTTTTTGGTGGGGAGGAGAGAGAATTTAGGGTTTCGTTTGGTGGGGAGAATGAATTTAGGGTTAGGTCTAGAGTTTCGGATTTAGGGTTTCGAGTTTTCTACTGCCACTGTGATGAGGAAATTGACAGGTTCAGTTGTTGTGATTTAATTTCAAACATTTTGTGACGCTGCCTCCATATTGTTCAACTGTTCTTCCATTTAATGCTTTGTCTCAGACAACATTTCAAAAATATATGACAAAATGTAAAGCTTCCGTCACCCACTCCAAGCCATTTATGTCTTTTGTGTTTTCATGAGTGACAAGATTAGAGCGTTTGTTAAGATGATATGAGTTCACAAAATAAGTAAACAGCTTACCAACTTCAATTTTGTACTAACTTGTCACGAATATTTCATTTGGATTTATGAATAAGATAGAAATCTCAAGATACTCACTCACATATATAATGGATTAATAATGGAGATTTTCTAAATTATGCAACAACCGGGGCAATTTAGGAGGCGCTGCCTGAGGCACCTCCGAATATGTTTTGGGCCTTTCCTAAGTAACTTAAGTGCCTCGTAGGAGTTGAAACAGAAATTCCCGAAAACTCTGAAGTGGGTCCGAGACACTCCAAAAGAAGCTCAATTTGGAGATAGGAGGACATCCACGAAAGAAAATACGAAAAAAAATAAAGGAACTCATATGAATATAAGATATGTTTTTATAAATCAAGGAAAGATAGCTTAGATAGGCTTTAAATATAGACAAAATAACCCATATGAATATTGTTCAACTTTGGGCCCACGAGATGTAATAAATTTATTGGGTCAAGCCCATTAAGCAATACAATGAGGCCCAACCATTATTGGGCCATCTTTTCAATTGCATCTAATCCATTTATAAAATATTTGTATTACAAACATATAAAATAATATTGGCCACAATTATGTTAATGTTTGAGGATATGTTGAGGCAATAAAAGAGGAAGAAAAAGGTAAGAAAGAGAGAATGTTTACGTTGAAAATGAGCTCGAGCTAAGGAGACACACAAGGTTGGTGCATGAGTAAACAATGGCTTGAAATGGGGTGGCATGACCAACACTTAACCAATTCTACATGCAATCTTTGTTTATCCTTTAGAAATGACATTTTAAACCTATGGACAAACCATTACGACAATACAAATATAACAACCCTACGTCAATTGATACGTAAAAACTTCTATTGACATGACTAAGTTAAGATAAAAATGTGATTTTGATATCACATATAGAAACAATGGATACCCACAATAGTATAATATCGTCTACTTTGAACATAAGCTCTCATAGCGTATATATCAATTAAGATAATGTCACTTACTTATATATCAACGATATTTCTTGTCTGCTTTGACTCGTCATATATTGCCGTCAACCTCATGATTTTAAAAACACCTCTTAATAGTATAAAATTAAATCCAACTAGGTTCCAAGGTTTCATTAAATGAGATTATTCTCCAAAAAAGTGAAATGCATGGATGCCCATTGACCATTAACACTCCTCCAAAATAGTTCTTATCCTTTTCTCCAATTTGGATTTTATTTTTTTATTGTCTTGGCCTTTTGTGAGTGGGGGTGGCGACCCAAAATTAATACACCAATTTACACTCAATAATTAATTATTACTCCTTATTTTCATATTTAATCTTGAATCTTGATTTATAAATATTATTTAAAAGATGATATTTGTATGTGAGTTCATGTAATTGTGGTTTAATTCGTAAATTGATAACTTTAAAGCTAAACTACAGCATGCATTACAAAGTAGAGTTATTTTTTTGGTCATTATTTTGTTGATATGTATAACTAGCTAATGCACACAAACACCTTCAGACCAGCACATTTGTAAAACCCATCTGAAAAAGATTGAACACAAACTAACCCAATGAAACCAACAGAGATTTTTGCCTTGTTGAAGGAGTAATACGCCGATTTCAATGGAAGCTCCCATCCATCCCCTAGCAAATGCTGGGCATGTTGTTCCAACAAGACGACCCAAGGCTCCATTCGAGCACCCGCGACGATGAAACGTCTTCTTCTCCGTTGCCATTCAATTTGCGCGAGGACGGCCCGTTGTGCAGGTTGATGCCGAGGTCGTCGTCGCTGCTGCCAGGGTACCACTCTGGCACCGGCATTCCCGATTGGAAGTTGTTGAGTAGGCTCATTAAGTCATCGTCGTCCATTGAGTTCATCTCCTCTAATGGTTCCATTCTTGGTTTCTTTCCTGTATTTGCTTCAAAAGGTTACTCAAACCGTACAAGGGGTTGTCTTTATATTCAATAAAGATTATGTGGAATAATTAAAAATTTAACTTTTCCCCTCCCATTTTGATCATCGTTTAAAATTCCCACATTTAAGCTCAATATGTTAAAAATTAGTAATATTGTGTGAATTATTAATTGATTAAAATTTAGTTGATCCAAAGGTTTAGAAGGTAAAATTTTGCACAAGGATTGAGAAACTCACGAGATGATGAATACGAGGAGCTGAACTCATCGGAATAATTTTCAGCGGCGGCGGCGGCCTCCTCTCCGCCACTGCTTCCTAAAACTGATTCTGCATGTAAATTAGCATCATCTTCCTCTGTAGATCCTTGTTCTGTCCTCTGTTTCAACTCCCCGGCGGAGGAGGTTTCTTCTTTCGACTGCTTCTCATTACGAGACCGCGCTTCGGCCTCCTGCAGTACAACGTCAAGCAATCCACTGTTTGTTCCCACCATGATCCCATCGCCGCCGCTTGTCCCGGAGGAGGCCGGAGTGGTGGAGAGCGGCGGCGTTTGGATTGAAGGAAGCTCTGTTTCCAACCCCGGAATCAGGTGATGGTACGGAGCTCCAAGAATCATCGAATTCAGACCCGAATTAGAATTACACACATAATAATCTCCATAATTCAACTGGAAGGAGGCCTGCGGTGGGGTCGAGAGGGATTGATTCATCTGTTGCCCAATTTGTGAAAATGGAGAAACAGGGGAAAGAGGCAGAGCAAATCTACCACCGTTGTTATTTTCGGGAAAAAAATTGAATTGGCTGGTGGGTGCCGCATAAAGCGACGACCCATCGCTGAAATTCTTCTGGGAATTGTCGATTGATGAAGAGAAGTTGAAGATCGAAACAGAATTTGGGTGGTTGTTGTTGAAATCGGGTTTATGTCGAATGGCAGAGAAGTTGGTGGCAACCGCGGCGGCAGAGGAAGAGTGGTGCTGTTGTTGTTGTTGGTGGTGGTGGTGTTGATGTTGCTGGAGATGAAACGCCATCGCTTCCTGCTGAATTTCAAGAGGGTAAAGCGGCAAACCGGCCCTTTGGCGACGCTTCATTCGGGTGTTCCAGTAATTCTTAATTTCGTTGTCGGTTCTTCCAGGTAACTGCAACACAAAAACTGGGTGTCAGAGACGAAGATTTCAGTCGAGAATTAATCGCGGAATTGAGAGTCAAAGGTAGAAGACAAAATCAAACTCCAAATCAATTAAAAGTTGACGACACAGAGAATCACAAACCAATAAAACAATGATATATATTTTTAAAAATTTGAAAAGAGACAGGATTAGAGGTCACAATCAGCGAAATAATGCACAAAACCAGAAAAGGCAAAATTGGTCAAACAGAGACGTAAAGAACAGAGGATGAACAATTAAGAAAGAAAAAGAAGAAGAACACACCTGAGCAGCCATGCGAGCCCATTTATTGCCAAGCTTAGCATGAAGTTCAATGATGACCCTTTCTTCCTCCTGAGAAAAAGAACCCTTTTTGAGATTAGGCCTCAAATGGTTAGCCCAACGGAGCCGACAACTCTTCCCACACCGAGCCAATCCCGTATGTTTCTGAACCGCGTTCCAATTCCCTTCACCGTGTTTCTTCACATATTCAATCAAGATCCCATCTTCCGCCGCCGTCCACGGTCCTTTCTTCAACGCCCTCCCTCCGCCGTCGCAGCCGCCGTCGCCACTTGCAAGATGATGATGCTCCCCTTCGCTTCTCCCTTTCTCCCCTTTGCTCTCAACCATTTTCCCCTCAAATTTCTTCTTTTTTTTTCTCTTTTTCTTTTTCTTTTTCCTTTTCTTTTTCCTTCTTCAACCAGCCCACAAAATTCCTTCGTGGACCGTGATTGGAAATGCTGGTTATTATTAGATTTCCAAGAAGAGATTTTAATTAATCCCCACCACCCATAAAAAAAAACCCCGTCTTTGCAAGCTCTAATTCCCTCGACGGAATTTTGAACCCTTTTATTTTGGGTTTGTATTTGTATTTGTATTTCTATTTGTATTGTATTGTACGTAGAGACAAAGAGTGGCACCAAACAGGAAGAAGAACACGAAGAAGAAGAACAAAAAAAAAAAAAAGAAAAAAAAAAAAGAG